GGGCTTGAGAGGCCATCAATGCCATCAACAGCTGATTCCCATCCCTAAAGTCCAAGGTCATGGCTGAGCACCAGGAAGTCAGCTTGCTTCATGCCACCACCAAGCCCTCCTCTTCCTCACACTGACCCCTTGTGGGGAGGCCCAGGTCACTGCATGCACCTGGTCCTGCCTCTCCCCACTCATTTGATCTCCAACCCGGGAGGGACTTGGGAGGTCACAGAGGCAGGGTTCTGGTCTCGGGGTAGCTTCCACTGCTACGCCTAGTGTGGAATGAGGGGGTAGCCACCTCCTCCCAACTCGTGCCAATCTGGTGACCTTGGGCCTCTCCCTTCTACTCTGGACATCAACAGCCTGTGTGCATGGGCCCTGCACCAACTGCCAGCTTCAAATTCAGGCCCCAACGTTTGGTGTAGGACTATGGGTAACCCTCTAACCTCGGTCTCTTCGGCCATACACCAGGCACGGAGTGTCCCCTCCACTTGGAATCTTTCAGGATTCAGTGCGACCATCTGAGGCCAGCTGAGGCCCTCGCGTCACACGCAGTAAGACATTGGCTCCCGTGGATTTGTTTGTACAGAGTTGGATGAGGTGATCCCAAAAGGCAAGCCCTCACCTCCTCAGCAATTTGGAGCAACGACCCCTTGCCCTGAGTCTTCCCTCTGTGAGGGGGGCTTCCCTGGCTGGGTCTGAGCCTGGGGGGCCGGCAGGGAGCTGCATCTCCTGCCCTGGCAGCTGGGGGGGGGCACTTTCCCGTGGCCCTGACCCTGCCCTCTTGTGTGCCTGGAGACGCCCCACAACACTCCTATGTCACCTTGGCAATGAGCAGAATTCCCAGTCCTGCTGGGCGCCCACAGCCCCTTCCTGCGCTTGGGGAAAAGGCCCAGGGAGCCGCTGACAGGCAAGGTGTCAAAACCAATTGGTGTGAAGGACTTGGGGAAAACGGCTTGTGAGGGCCAGTTCCCCACAGGAGGCAGGGAAGCCCTCAGCCTTGGGCGGGGTGTTTACAGGCATAATTGATAGAATAATCACCAATACCCGAGACAACGGCAAGCACATTTTTAACATCATAACCTTCGGAAGACAGCACTCAATTTTCTCTGTCTCCCAGCCACCAAACCAGCCAGCTTATTGATGTCGAGATACCACCAGTTCGGTAAGGAACTAGAGAAAGCCAGAATCATTTTTCAGTGCACAGGCTGTTTGCCAAATAGCCTGGCGGCCCCTGCCCCTCCCCCAGCACCCCACTGCTCCCTCCTGGCAACAGAGAGAAGCTCAGGACAGTGAAGCACTCAATGGACAAAGCGCCAGACCAAGCCAGGATCTTTGTCTGCATTGGGTGTATTAATAATTGAAGGTGCTGGCCCAGGGGTGTGTGTGTGTGTGTTTGTGTGTGTGGCAAGGCAGAGGTGGGAGGAGAGATGCTCACTGCAGTATAAGGCTCCCTGGGGCTCCTCTCAGAGTCCACTTAGGGCTCTAGACTGGACCTCTCCTGCACTCGCAAAACTAAACAAATCACCAGCGCACAGTTTTTCGTCCCCACGTCTCATCAGGTTTGGGTGAATACTTAAGGCTCCCTAACTCCAGGCTGCATGAGAAGCATCAGAGGGGCTTATTAAAATATGGGTCACTTTGGCCAGTGGAGATGGGGGACCCCAGGACCTGCTTTTCAACTCATACCCTCAAGTGATCCCAAGTCAGAAGGCCTGCAAGGACCCTGCCTTCCAGATGTCTGCCCTAGGTGAGAACTGGAAAGGACACTGAAGAAGCCCAGCCCGGCTGCCATGTAACCCCAGCAAGTTCCTGTTACCTTCCGGGCCACTGATTCCTCTCAGCGGAACCCACCTGAGAAGCTGGAAGGGGATGTGCTTGGATGGGCGGCACAGAGGAAGTTTGGCCAGACACGCCTACCTCGAGGCTGTTCTGGAGGAGGGAGGCCCAGAGCTGCCAGGCAACCTTCCTTCTAGCTCAGGTCTCCAGCTCCCAGCGCACACTCAGTGACCTTGGGCAAGTCATTTGCCCGCTCTGCACCTTGGTTTCCTCTTATGTCCAACGCCAGCTTTGCCGGACTTGAGTCTCAAATAATGTCAGTCTTAGTAAGTCAACTCTGACAGTAGGCATTTCAGAAATGGCATCTCCCTTTCCCCCGACCTCCGCTGTGCTCACGGCGACGAGCTAATCCTTTCTGGATTGTCCTAGCTGACAATTCAAAACTGCTGCCATGTGCGAACCTACTAGGCACATACACTGACCATCAACACTCCCAACTCCTCACGCCTCCCTAGGAGCTGGTCACCATTCAGGCCCCACTCATTCTTCAAGCCTTTCAGAAGCCTTTCAGAAGCCCTCCGTGAAGTGGGCTGAGTGGAGGTGGCAGGGGACGGGAAGCAAGACAGATGTCCTTGCAGACCCATCTGACCGCGAGCTCTTCCTCTGACGAGCCTGGGGCGGGTGGGTGATGGTGTGAGCCTGGCGGCTGGGCTGGGCTCAGATGGAGCTGGAGAGGTGGGTCCCAGCAAGTGGTTGGGGTCAGTAGGTCCCACTTTTAGGCCCCCACTCCCATCCCAGACACAGAGCCACCTCCCTAACCTGGCCACATTTCCTGAATCAGCTCAGGCCACGCGGAGCCTAGAATAATGAAACGATCAGGCTCCAATCTGCTAAACAGCAATTTCTGGGCTTTTTCAGCACACACAGCTTTTATCAAATTGGTATTCTCCTCCTGAACACAAATGGCTTATTAGACATGACCCACTTATTCGCCGCGTCTCACTATCATTAATAACAGTTTCTTTTTGTGATTAAGTGAGTGGCTCCAACCCTTCCTGTGGTGGCTGCGCTGGGCCCGGCACAGGGCGGCCACTGCTTGGTGACTTTGAACCTGGCATTGTTGGGGGAAGGCAGCCTGGTCCCTGTAGAGCAGCCCAGCCGCTTCATTTCTTGAGGGTCACGGGGAGCCCCAGCGGGGTAACTCACTTGCCCAGAGTCACGCGGGGAATCAGTGAGAGGAGCGAGGCTCCCGGTCGGAGCTGTCTCCTCTCCACCGAGCCCTCCTCTGGGCCTTGTCTGGACCTCTCCAGGGCTGAGCTGTGCCCCTAAGCATGCCTGGCACCAGGAGAAAGGCAGAGCCTGCCGCACAAAGGGCAGGTCCTGCTTCCTTTTCGGGCCCCAGAATGGTAGAGCGGCACCCAAATCCTTGGGGCCTGGGGCTCCAGGAACAGGGTGAGGGTTAACCTCAGGTTTCTCCAGGGACAAGACTCAGGAAAGCTCTTCTTTGGAAAACCTTCCTCGTGTGAGTTTCAACTGTGCCAAGGAACTGAGCTGCCAGAGGAGGAGAGCAGAGGAAGGAATTCCCAGTTTGCCTTGAGTGGCAGAGACTCTAACAGCCGGATGAACGTGTCCTGGAAAAATCACTATCTTTGTCCGAGAGACCCTAGGGCCAGTGCCAGTTCAGCCTCTCACTGTGTGACCTTGGACAAGTCCCTTGACCTCTCTGAGCTCCCCTTTCTCCATCTGGACATTGAGGCTCAAAATAACCTTTCCCCTATTTACCAGCCAGGTTGGTAGAAATTACATGAGGGGTAGGAATAAACGATACGCAGAGCAGTTACTGTCAAACGTGGTAAGGCAGTAAGTCGTGGTTCCCCCAAAGCAGAGAACCTGAGAAGGGTTTTGGGAGCTCCCCTACCGCCTGAAGCAACCCCCCTCACACGTCACTCCCCATGAAGCCGTCTCTGATTATCTGCTCATCTTCCTCCCCTCCCAACCCCCCAACCCCCAGCGCTTACTCTTTCCCATCAGAATAAACCACCCAGTTCTGTCCTTTGTGCAAACCTCCCCCGAGTCGGGCAGAAAGTGCCCAGCACTGGTGCTGCAGCCTTCCCCACCACACAGGGAACCCCTGCAGGCACAGATGGCTGGAGGAAGGGTCTCCATTTTCATCTACGCCTGTTCCCCATGACAGCATAGGAACCCCCACAAAAGTCAGTCTCAGACAATCCAACTCTGTTGCCAACTTGAGCTCCTCTGGGGCTAACAGGAGCTTCCACACTCAGGCAACCAGGGCTGGGAATGCATGCTTGCTCCCCGCTCCCACAGCAGTGGAGTTGAGATTTCCCACATTTCAGTCCTCGGACTGAGGATGAGGGTAGATGGCCCTCGGAAGGTTGGCACGGGCTTCTTGCCCACCCCTAGAGGTAGACAAAGCTCCTGGCATTCCTGCCTCCCCGACCTCCCTGTTGACTGGAAGCAACAATCCCAACTATTCCAGCTTCTTCGTCTTTGTGGGGCTCCCCCCAAGCCTTCGGTCCACCCACCTGCCAGGGGTGTCTGCAGCCCCAGGCTACCAGTTCTCAAGAAGCAGGGTCTTCTGTTCCCTAGGACTTTGGCCCATGACTTAGGGAGCAGCTGTGGAGAGGGAGAGAACAAGGGCAGCTGTGGGGTTAAACCCACAGAGGGGCAGTAGATGGGCAGAGAGGGGTGGGCGAGCAAAGAGTCTTCACAAGTATGTGTGTATTTGCCAGTGTGTCTGCAGGTGGGCGGATGGGCAAGAGTTGTGCAGAGTGTATGCGCCTGAGTGCCAGTCGGCAGGGGGTGAGCCCTCCAGCCTGGGTGCCTGGTGTGTGTCTGTAGTGGCCGTGAAGTGCGAGTGTTTGTGAGTGAGGAAGGGGTTCTGAGGTGCCTGGAGATGCGTGAGGAGAGGAATTGTGTGAGGAAGCAGCGAGTATGGCTCTGAGTGTGCCCGTGGCTGTGGGCAGCTGTGTGGTCGCGGAGCTGTGTGTCCACGCGAGTGTCTGTGTGTGGGTAAGCGGGGCTCCGTGACAGCGGATTCTCTCCTCCGCGGGATCGCCAGGGTGCCGGGGTGGCTCACTGGACCCGACAGGGGGCGCCCCAGGACTCTTGCCTCTGCCAGCGCAGGTTCGAGCCTGGGGACCGCTAAGTTGGAGCCGGGCAACCCGGGTGGGGTTTGGTGGGAAGTCCGCGGGGTCGGCGACCGAACTCACCGTGACCGGAGACGTGGTTGTCCCAGGGCGCGTGGCCGGCGGGCCGCGTGGCTCCGCCGAGTTGCAGGAAAAGTGCCAGGTAGTGGAGGGCGCCCAGCGCCAAGGCGAGCGGGGCCCCCATGGTGCTCGCTCGGGCCGGGGGCGCCGCCGCCTTACATCGGGGCTCAGCAGACTGCAGACCCTGCGCCCGCCGGTCCCTGCCCGGTGCGGCCTGGCTGCCCGACTCCGGTCGCTGCTCCTCGCCAGCTGAACCTGGCCCGGCCCCGGCCCCAGCCCTCGCCGGGCCCCGGCCCAGCCCCGGATGCGGACAGCGAGCGCACGCCCAGCCGGTCGCCTCCGACTGCGGGACTCTTCCCTTCCGCGGAAGGCCACTCCGCTCGGCGCCGCCGCCGCCGCACCCCCTCCCTCCCACTCCTCCCGCCCGCCCAGAGGAGGCGGCGGCGGAGGGATCTGCCGCTTGATTTATCATCAAAGTTTTGCCCAGGCTGGGATTTTTAAAGCGGTACCCGCAACTTCCCCCGCCCGAGAGCGCGGCTGGGGGACGGATGGGACGAAGGGAGCTACCCGAGGGACCCCCTTCCCGCAAAGCATAACACAACTGGCTTCTGACGCAAAAAATATTTTCAGCGGGATAAAGGGGAGAAACCAATCCACCCGCCGCCAGAGCTAGTGCACTCAGAGGGTGCACCCTCCAATTTGCGGGTGGCAGGGAGGCAGGTGGGGGTGAGAGGACAGGTGAGGGAGAGGTACGGTAGGAACCGGGACTGAAGCCCAGAGCCCTGGTGATAGCTTGCAGCCTGTGGCTGTGTGATCCTGTCGCCGTGTCTACCCTGGTCTGAGCCTCGAGGTGTGCATCTGAGAAATGGAAACGTTAGCTACCTCCAGGGGTCGTCGCGAGGATTTAGGAAATGGTGTATGTAAAGCGCTTAGCCATCCACACCTGTGAAGGGCCCCATTGTTGCAATTGTTGTTGTTCCCTCTATGGGACTCAGTTTTCCGGTCTGTAAAATGGGATTGAGTGAGGCAGGTCAGCTGCTGGGGCTACGTCTAGTTGAGAGATGCTGGGACCTACGTATTGGATTGGATCGCCCCCTTCTGGGTTGTACGGCTCCCTTCTTAGGGTGGATAGGCCTAGACAGAATATTGGGGTGGGGATGGGTGGTGGTGAGGGGGAGGGGAATAATGAATCCATTCCCATTCTCAAGAGCAGAATCCAACGAGATCCTCAGATTCTTCCCCGGGTTGAAGTCTCCGAATGATGCTGTCGGGACAGACATTCTGTGCAGTCACAACGGTGGACAGCGAGTCTGACCCTGGAAGAATCCCTCCTGCTCTCTCTTTCCTTGTCTTTCCCGAGGCCTCGTTCCTGACTTGGTCCTCTCTGCTGCGTTTTAAACACCACAGAGGAGGACAGCGTCAACCCTGCCACCCTTCTAATTACTCTGCCTCTCCGACAGAAACAGTCTCAGAGAGCTATTAGTTTCCAGGGTTCAGCACCATGAACCGACTTTCCGACTCCCCTGCCCCCCACACCCCAGAGGAGGGGAGTCAACAACGAAAGCGGCTGACTCCCTTCTTCACCCCTGCCCCCACGACAGATGGATCCAGTATAGTGGACAGTGCCCCAAATTTGAAAATGAGGTTAGATCACAAACGACAGTTCCCCACCCTGCTGCCTTTTCTCGGCTCTCACATTACCTCTTTCAATATTATGGCGAGCAGCACACCAGATGGGGCCTGTGGTCGCCAGCAAGAATACAGTTCATTCGAAACTAAGGATAGAGCTCTAAGGTGTCGCGCAATTACAAATACCGCGTTTCAGTAAGACAGACAGAGGCCACAGGAGTGGCGCATGCCGCTGCCTTCAGCACCGCGGACAGATCTCCGCCGTTGTCCCAGTTCTTTCCAGCCCACAGTCACTGGAGAAAGGAGCCAGGGTTTTGTCAGATTAACCCACTTCTTTTCACAGCCTCCCCAAACAAAGACGATAGTTAGGTTATTCCAGGAGTGCCAGGAGTCTTGGGTTCTACAAGCGCATTTTCTCATTCATTAATTCACTTGAGGTTCGCTCCCAATGAAGGGAGCTCCGTTGTTCCCATAATAAAGATGAAAGAACCCAGAATCGTTAAGATCATATAGCAGTGCCAAGGCTGAAACTTGGGGACTTTCAGTCCCAGCCTCAGGTCCCTCCAGTAGAATGAACTGACAGAGCTGGGGCTCAGACGTAGGGATTTCTCATCTCAAACCACAGATTGGAAGAAGAGGGCAGTCAAGGAGACAAGTTGAGAGAAAACTAGAAGAGAGGTGTAAACAAGAGGCTTTGGTTGGGTGCTGTAGAGGAATGAGGTCAGAATGGGACAGCAGCACATTCCTTCTCAGTCACTAACCCACCGATGGTCCTGAGATCTTCAAGGACTCTTTATCCTCAGAGTCTGGAATAGGGTTAAACCCAGTGACTTCTAATATCCTTCAAGGACAGACCTCCAGGGATTTTATGACTGAAAACGTTCATGCTGTAATAGCTTTGCTTAAACCTCTCCAGTGGCTTTGTTTATTAGAGAATTCTTGACTCTTCATTTGCATTCAAAGTCCCAGACTCACGTTTGACATAAACCCTCTACTCCAGACTCCGTTCCCTCCCAGTGTGCCCAGCTTCATCATTCCATTACCAGCGTTCCCCCTTCTGCTTACATGCCTTCCCATCTGTCCTCCATTCAGACTCCAGTCTGAGGAAGAAATATCACAAGAATCTCCCAGTCTTGGAGTGTCTATGGGTCTTTTACTGTGTATCTGGCACTGTGCTAATTTTAATTATCCCACTTAATTCTCAGGACAAATAGGGTATAGTCATACAGGTCATAATATCATACAGAATAGTGTGATATGAAGTATGGGCTCGGCTTCTGAGTCCAGCTACTTACTAGCTTTGTGACCTTAGGAAAGTTACTTAGCCTTTCTAAAGGCTATCTGCAAAATAAAGATAATATCTCAATCATTAGTTTATTGTGAGGATTAAATAACTTCTATATGGAAGCCACTTAAAACAGTGCCCAGCACACAGCAAATACATGACACATGGTGGTTATTATTGTTGTAACTATTAGTATTGTTATTGTTATTATTTACACACAAGGAAACAGATGCTCAGAGGGGTTAAGTATCTTGCCCACTGTCACACAGCAAAGTGGTTGTAGAGCTGTGTTGTCCCTAAGCCCATCTAGTTCAACCCACCCTCTTTGAAGCTTAGAAAACTAAGACCTAGAAAAAATAAGTGACTTCAGAGTCACACAGACAACTATGACAGAACCAGATTCAGGTCCCCAGTCTCCCAGCTCAGGGCTCTCCTGCTTTATAGCAGTGTGATCCCTTTATACTTCTGCAGCACCTGGATTGCACTTTACAGTTTACAAATCACATTTACATTGACAATCTTATGTAGTTCATGCCCCAAACCCTGAGGCCACTATATTATTACTTTCTTCTTTTGCAGATAAGGAAACTGAAGCTCAGAGATGAACCAATCTGCACAGGTTGCACAGAGGCCAGATGAGAAAGGGTGGCCCTAGTCCACATCCCTCCCTTGCCTCCTTTCTCTTCATTGTAGAACTGAGGAATCTCAGAATTTAGAAGTCTGTCCAAAAAAAAGAATCTCTAGGAATTCACTAGGGTGGGTGACGCTTATCCGCCATCTCACTCTGGAAGGCTCTAATATGTTTCCCACCCTTGCAGGCAACAAAATAAGTATCGAGGGGTCATATGGGTGCTAAGACTAATACCACTGCTGCTTCCATCACACAGATGGGCTTAGAAGGCCAACGTCACGTCAAGGATTTCAGTTGGGAAAGATGATTTAAAGGAATCCTGAGCTGTTCTCTACCTGGGACCCGGCTCCCTGGAGACTGCCCACCCTCCCCCGACACAGGAGGCCACCCTCCCTTTGCTCCTTGAGAGGTGTCACTTGAGCTCCATGGCTCTGTCAGTGGTAACAGTCGTAAGATTTGTCCTTTTAATCCAGAATCAATAACAAATTTCATTTAAAAATAAATTAAACCAGGCATTGGAAATCATTCACCGTGTGGGCTAGGGCCCTATATGGTGCCGTCTAAATGGCTTCCTTTCGCTCATCTATCAATGCCAAGAGGAGGGAAATACCCAAGCTGCCTGATTCATGGAGAAACTACTTAAATGTATCAGCCCCTAACAATGAGCAACATGAGCCCAGAGTCGCACCTTTTAACACACTAATAACATGTAGAGCATGCCTTCATGGGCGCTTATCAGAGGCCCTCCGGTCACTGGTTTTGAGGGAGCCCATTTATAAGGGGGAACAATGGCTTTAGTATGTAGCCGCCTAATTTCCAGAATGCATTACTGAGCTCAGAGGAGCAATGGAATTCTATTAAAATCTTATCTGCCTTGGGAGGGTATGAAACCAACAGGGAAATCCAGACTTAGCAGAGACATGCCCAAAAAGCACCAGGCTGACCCTAAGAAGTGGGTGAACAAACCCAAAGGGGGGAGGGCAGGCGGGTCCCCGGATGTGTGAAAATATGTGCGTTAATAGAGCTCCGGTTTCCAGCGATTACGTTTACATCAGCGAATAAAACTTGGCAATAAAATATCGGTGCTGCGTCTCCGACAGCATTTCCTTTTACAGCCCAGTGTATTTCACTCATTATAACAGGATGCAAGGAGTTTGAGGTGTCCCCATTTCTCCCTCTTTAATTAAATTTCCTAAACTACTGCCCAAGATTTGGATAAAGCAAAAGACTTATGACTCGGCTAATCGCCATCACCCGGCCCACCCCTGACGCTCTGACCCTGAGTGTCCCCGGTTCCAGCATTATTAAAATGAAATACTATGGGCATTGCTTGCCTGCCTGGGCTCTGGTTTGTAAAAGGAGATGTAGCCTCAAGAGAGAAATTGGTACAGGCTCAGCAAAGAGGCCTGAGTACAGCACAGGCTTCGCCATCACTATCACCATGCTCTGTGACCTTGGGCAAGTTACTTCTCTCTGAGTTCCCCAGTTCCCATTCCCCTTCCCCTTCTAACAACATCCACCAAAAGGCTCTAAGATTAATTTGGGGGGGACCCTGGTGGCCTAGAGTTTAAGTCTCAGCACAATTACCATTATGGCCTGAGTTCGATCCTTGGCCAGGGAGCTGACCCACACGGTACAGCAGATGGCTCCTGTCTCACCCACTACTTCCCTCAGCAGCATATTTCAGTAGATCTGCCTGTTCTGTTCCCCACTCTGTCTCTGGTGAATCCTCTTACTCCCTGTACCTCTGGCCTACATCCCAATTCTTCTACACAAAATAACAAAAAATAAAATAATAGATTTGGAGATCAG